GACCACAAGACTATTGGCCAATGGTTACGAAAAATACCGCATTGAAAGAAGGCTTAATCCTCAGAGCAATCGTGGTCTCATCATACGTTTGCTTCGAAATGATTTCGAGAAATTTCTTGCTACGTTCGTATATGAGGGACACTAACGACTCGGCCATTGTACTCTTAGTCATGGCCTTTTCTCTGCTCGGAGTGCAATTCGTTGTGTTGCCGATTTTGCAAAGGAAAGCCAGTCCGAGAATGTTGCTGCAAATTGCTATGAGTGGATTGATACTTTGTTATTTCGCCGTTTCTTTCACGACAAATTTCGAACAACTTCTCGTCATTATTGCCATACAAACGGGTGCTTATGCCGTCGCTTATGCTGAATCTTCCACACAAATCACTAGGTTGGTAAAACCTTCATTTCAATAGTGCTCTCGCAAAATCGATTTCTCAAGTTCATCTCAAAACTTCAAACTTTTCAGTGCCGTCGAAATCACCGACCTTGGCAAAGCTACGGGACTTGCGTCAACCGTTCAGTGGATCTCCCACTTTGTTTTACCTATCTATGCTTCACATCTTGTTGAAAACTATCATTTTACCTATGCATTTTACACCTCTACTCTTCTTTCTATTATCGGACTCGTCTATGTGTCCATATTTGCAAAGAACACCAACAACAGGTTAGGATCTCTGCTGCCAAGTCTTACTGTAACTTATTGATTCCACTGCTGCCGTGTATAATAAATATTCAATTTTGCATTTACGGCATCTATAAGCAAAAAAAAAACGCTTGCACGCCAAATATGGGGTTTTGAGATCCAAATCCACACAGGACCACGTCTGAGCTCTCTTAGTTTCCCGCACTGTCTTCGCACCGTTCTACTCTTTCCCACCTTCCCATTCTTTGCGTTTTCCCACGCATTCCGAACAAAATATGGATCACATCCATATCCCCACAGGACCACGTCTGATCCCTCCTACCTTGCCCTGCTCTCTCCCACCCAATCTCCCACCCCCTCTTATTGCGATTTCTTTGCTTCTCATGCATTCCGCACTTTCTCACCGAAAATTTCTCAAAATTGGAGAAATCGATTTCTCACACCGGTCACTGATTCCAAACGAGATGCGCCGCCACCGGCCACTGCTGTATGGCCGCTCAGATTCAGCAAGAAGCCGGTTTGCGAACGGGAAACCTAAGTCTCAGCAAAGCACCCGCTCCGCTAACGCTCTCAGCAGATCTGACAACACTCTCGTGTATACATCCGGTAACATGA